TCATGTGTCCAGGGGTGCAGATGAACAGCGCCCCTTCCTCCTATGTGGGCAGGTGCTACAAGGAGATAATGAGGAGCGGATCCAGCTGTTGTCTGGGAGCTGCCAGGCAGAAGCATCAAGTGGAATGGGCTCTGACCCAGCAGAACTAGAAGGCGGGGCCCTGCAGGACTCGAGGGATACCACAGCTTCTTTTGGCGTTGGCATTCAGCTGGAGTTTCAAGGAGCCGATGCAGAAGAAGACCATGGAGGAAGAAATGAATTCCCAGAGTGAGGTACCGAGCGTGCTGTGCCGAGCTAGGGGGCCACGTGAGAGGCTTGGGGGTGGAGAGTCTGCAACATGAGTCCCATGTCTGGACCCCCTGCCATTACCAGACGAAAAAGGAATGAACACAGCTTACTTTAAAAATGACAGGATGAAGCAATGACATTACAAGCAGAGAAGCAGCAAAGTGCAGCCCTGATTTAGAGAACGGGCGCTGTCTCTGTGCCAGCGCATTCCCCGGAGAGCACCCCAACAGCAGGGCGTGTCTCCAGCCCAGTTACAGGGACTCTTCCCCCGACAGAGGCCAGGACAAGGTTCAACCACAGGGCGAGACACCCTCTCGGGGTCTTTGTCACCAGCTGGTGGCCCGACGGGCCCGTTGCTGTCCCTCTCTCCAGACTTGCCGGGAGCAACCGACTATGGCAGAGACCCCCAACTCCTCAGCATCCAGCCTCACGGGAGCCCCTGGGTCTGCCCCAGTCGGGTGGCAGACGTCCACTCTCAAATGCCACAGAGAGCTGCTGTGGCCATGTGCTTCTCCCAGTACCAAAAACACATGCCAAAAGAAGCAAGTCCTGGCGTTGTGGTGTGACAAGTTAAGGTGTGGCAGGTCAAGCTACGACGTCCATATGGGACGTCAGTATAGCAAGTCCTGGCTGCTCCACTTCCCATCCTGCTCCCTGCTGATGCACCTGGGAAGGCAGCAGATACAGTTCCTGGCTCCTGGCTCCGGCCTGGCTCCACCTGGGTTATTGCAGTCACTGGGGCATAAAGCAGTAGGTGGAAGATTGCTCTCTCCCTTTCTTTCTCTGTTGACCTGCATTTCAAATAAATTCATTTTTTAAAAGATTTATTTATTTGAAAGGTAGGGTCACAGATAGAGAGAGGGAGAAATAGAAAGAAAGGTCTTCCATCTGATGGTTTACTCCCCAGATGGTCACAATGGCCGGAACTGTGCCCATCCAAAGCCAGGAGCCAGGAGCTTCCTCTGGGTCTCCAACACAGGTACAGGGGCCCAAGGACCTGGGCCATCTTCTACTGCTTTCCCAGGCCATAACAGCTGGATGGGAAGAGAAACAGCCAGGACACCAAACAGGCACACCCATATGGGATGCTGGCTATGCAGGTGGCGGCTTAGCCTACTATGCCCCCGTGTTGGCCCCAATAAATTAATTTTTTTTAAAGTGAATCCCCTCACTACACCTTGGAGTGAGTGCTAGCAGGGGGCTCTCACAGAGCCACACGAGGAGGGCAGAGAGAGCAGGGCAGGGGCTGGCTTGCTCCAGTCCAGGCCAAGACCCCAGAACACAAGGTAGATACAAAACCAGGTAGCCGCAGACATCGTAGATCACCCAAAGCCACAGCTAATCACAAAACTCATTTCGGCCGACAGTTTTCGTTTCTTCCTGATGTAATTCTTCATCAGCACAGAGAAAGGCGAGAGCTGGCAAATGTTTAGTTTTCCTGCTTCCCCTCTGGGGAATTAGCCAAGCTGTAATGAGAAATTCAGAGTCGAGACAGTGAGCAGAAAGCTTGGGTGATCTATGCTACAGCTAACACACTGCAACAGAAGAGGCAAGGAAGAGTGTCAAGGAGCCGCGTAAAATCCAATGCCGAGAGGGAAAAATCCTAACACAACCAGCAGCAGTCCCCACCGGCTTGGTGCATCTCTGTCCTGCTTAAGGAATGCCAGGCTCGAGTGCCAGGGTGATCCGGGAGGGAGCAGCTGTGGTCAACACTCCCCATGACCAGAGATCCCACTCCTGATGGCAGTCCAATCCCATGAGCCCTCAGGAAGGAGGGAATTGTGCGGATGGATTCACCAAGCAAAACAAGATAAAAGAGGACCCCGTCCACCCAGTAAGCCATCAGCACTCGTCCTGAACAAAGGATGCTCACAAGGTGAGTTCACAAGGCTAATTACAACCCGGTTACACAGAGCGCAGTGCCTTCCTTGTTAGCACAAGAATTTGTCAGATGTGTGTCGCGCAGGAAGTGAAACAGCTGTAACCAGAAGTGACAGGTTCTGAAAAATGGTTGGTTTCCTAAGCACCTGGTCCCCCGAGTCGGCACTGTAACCTTCTTACATTAAAACGACAGAAACAACAAACAAGCACAGAAGTTTCCACTGCAGAAATCCTGGCAAGCTGAAGTTCACAGAATTTTCAATGTGCTGCTGTGTGATGTGCAGAGACCACCAGAATCTGCGCCATCAGTTCCCAGTATCGCGGGCCAGAGGCCTGCAGGTGCACCCATCTCGCCTGTTCACCAGCCTCGCATTCTTTGGCAGATGGAGTTAACTTCAGTCTGCACTATCTTATAAAGCAGAAATAATAACCTTGAACATCAAGCGTTATTATAACGTATAATGTTGGTGCAAGCAGTGGCTTGGCAAATAACAGGTGTTTAGGAAACTGTTAATAGACTTGTTTAACTAAGTATCCCACTAGGCTGTGTAACCCCAGGAGGCCACCCATCTATTATACTTGAGTGTGTAGTTTTTTTTTTTTTTTAAACTAAATGGAAACATCAAGGGACTCAGAGAAGGTGGAAAAGAGGCAGTAATAACGAAGATTTTCCCTGGGGAGTACACCCAGGAAATGATGCCCTCCATAGAACAGCTTTAGGGGGAAAAAATGGCTGATCCTCATCATTTGCCATCAGAACGGTTCTCCTTCTCCAGGTAAGAAGCTTGAGGGGAATTTCCTTGTATTTGAAAGGCCTTGGAGAGTCCATGAAATGGTGTCCATCTTCTAGCTGTTCTCTCTCAGCAAATCCTCTGTAATGGATACAATGTAGGTGTCCCTGTGGCCAAAGTGTCCTAACTCCCTTATCCCACCTGCCCAAGAGAAGGAGACTGTGTCCTGAGCATAGCACCTCTGGTCTTTGACTGGGAGTCTCAGGGTTCAGGAAGATGCTGCACGTCCCACCTGGGGAACAGGTGCACTGATGGCTGAGAAACAGTTCTAGAACAAGGATCCTAAATCCTTTCTGAGATGCAAAAAAGCACCTCAAGTTCTAATTAAGCTGAAGCAATTAGCCACCCACAGATCCTTAACGCTGCTTCCCATGGCCAGGCAATCAAGTCGATGAAAACCCATTTTAAACACAGGAGCAAACCCAAAGTTCCACTGGCAGGCACTTCCCCCGTTCCGTAAATACTCTCAGGCAAACTCCGCCTGTAGGGAGTGCTTTGAAGAAAGAACTGCCTCAGCTGTGACGAGGTGGTTGCAAAAAGGGAGGTGGTGAGCTTGGAGTGTGACCATCTGGGGTGACGAAACCCACACACAGAGCAAGACGCTGGATCTCTGGCTCCCCAGCTGCTGCCTCGAGTCACTTGGGAGAACCAGGCGTTCCAATCTCCACCCTGAAGGAGCACTTCACGCACACACGTTTCTGCCTGCTGGACCAAGAGTCCGAGAGTCCCTGTGCGTGACTGGACCACAGTCCCGCGTGATGCTCTATCCGAGCACTGTCCCCTGTCACAACCTGTCACTCAAGTGCCCACGGGGCGCCTGGGCACTTTCACCATGAGTCCGATCCACTGCAGCTCATCTGCTGTTTCCAGCCCAGGTGGGGCCACTCCTCCCAAGACTCCCTTTAACGAAGGGCAGTCACCTGTGTGCAAAGGCTGTGCTCAATTCCACAACAGCGACGGCCACCCAATGGCCAACGGTAAACCAGTCAGGCTTAAGTAGCTTCCTTGAGAACAAGGGCCGCTTCTAAATCCTTCTAAAACCTTATTTTCCCTTTATATATATTTGAGTTGGGAAATTTTCTAGCAGAAAGTATCTGGCAGACATCGAAAACACTGACCTATACCAGCATTGCCCAACTGAAATAAGATTGAAAAGGAAAAAACAAATTGTACTGAAATACTTCTTTTAACCCAATATGTTAGAAACACTATTGTTTTGACGTATAATCAATAGAAAAGATAATTAGTGATTTATTTTTCACTCTTTTTTCATTCATTGTTCCCCTCAGTTACTGGACTGTGCAGAGCCAGAGTTGTATTTAAAGTGACAGGTGGCATGCGCATTGATGTCACAAATTCTGTTAGATATGAGAGACTTCAACTGCTCTTACTAAGATAAACTAGAAGGCAACTGTGAAGAGACAGACACCATAATATTCATTTCACCATGTATACATGAGGAGACTTCAAAATGTTCACGGGAACCCATGTTTTGAAAAAACTGTGCATGAATTTCAAAATTTTGCACCCAGTCCAGCCTATATGTTAATTTCCCTTTCCATGAACTTTTTGAAGTACCTTCATATATCCAAACAGCACACTGTATACCTTTAACATACCATTTATATCAAAAAAGAAAAAATCGTGACATGGAGAGGACTTTACAATTCACTGTTCTACGAATAGTTTGCCCAATTATGTGTGTGACCTGATTCACATTTCAACTTCATAACAACCTGTGTGTGTTCAGACACCCATAGAAAACAGCCTGTAGGGGAAGGGACCAATGATAGAGGTTTCCCTGACAAGCTGTAATGATGGAGAGTCTGTATCTCCTGCTTTGAGCCCTTTTGTAGTCTTGAAAGTTTTTTGTACCAAGCACATGTTGCTTATCGCTTTCATGACAATTGTAAAGCTAGTCTTCAAAAAGTAGACTCTGTCCTGTCAGTTATTAGCCACTGTCGTCACTGCCACACCCACACTACTGGGATGGCCCGAGCCATGGCCCTCACTCCCCGCACCGAGCAGCGTCGTACTTACAGCCAATCATCATGATGGCCACAGCAAAGATCTTCTCGATGTCCGTGGAGGGGGCGATATTCCCGAAGCCCACGCTGGTGAGGCTGGTCATGGTGAAATACAAGGAGGAGATGTAGACAGAATTCTTGCTGGGGCCACCTTCCCACTTCCCTGAGCCAGACCCGTTAAACTGGTACGGGGTGCCAATGTCCATGGCCAGTTGGTAGAGCCAGCTGTTGTTGCGGATCGTCTTGGTGTCCTCGTCGAAGATCTCGTAGTCCCCGATGCTGTACCAGATGCAGGCCATCCAGTGCGCAGCCAGCCCAAACACGCACACCAGCAGGACCAGCACAGCAGCGCCATACTCAATGTAGTGATCCAGCTTGCGGGCCACTCGCCCGAGACGGAGCAGCCGGACAACCTTCAGAGAGCTGAACAGGCTGCTGATGCCCTGGGAGAGGAGGAACCAGTGTCAGGGCCAAAGAACCACACATCTTACTCCCTCCCTTCTCCCCACCTGGCCCATTACTGCAAGCACAGAACATTTCCATAACATACAATATTACACAACCCTTAAAAATATAAAGCTAGAATTTTTTTCCAAGATGAATGGAATGGAGATGTCTATGAACTTTTTCCCACTTCCATTACAAAACAAACACATAAGCAAGCCAACAAAACAAGTAAGTTATAATTGTATTGTGCGTAAGTATACAAAATGCAAGGGTACTTCAAGAAGTTCATAGAAAAATGAGATTGCTGCAAAAGATTTTAAAACGCATGCGTAATTTTTTCCTAATGCATGTTTTCCATGAACTTTAGGAAGGCCCCTCATAAATATGACCATGATTTCTGTATCATTACTCATTTTGGAATAAATCTTAGTGGTTTCATATTTCATTCATATTTCATTTGTATAACATGAAAGACTTTAAGAGTTGCATAATAAATTTCATATTGCATGACACTGAGTAATATTTCATTCTAATTATGTTGTATGTAGCTATACAAGGTACTTCTAAAGATACAGGGCAAAACAGAATTAAAAGTTTATTTTGGTGCAAAACATTTTTGAAATCCATGCATAGTATTTTCAGGACACACATTTTCCATGAACTTTTTGAAAAGCCCTGGTATGCATGGATTTATTTTTGCACCAAAATAAAGTTATCTTTTAATTCCATTTCTCCATGAATTTTTTAAAAGTGTGCTTGTGCATGTAGGTTGAAAAATGTTCAGGGAGCACTCAAAAAGATCCACAGTGATTTACTGTCACATAATCAAGAGATGGAATTACAGGCAATTTTTGTTATAATTGTATACATTTTTGGTAGACTTATAAATATGTACTTAATTTCTATAATTAAAATTATTACATTTATATTTATAACAGTTAAACATAAAGTCAATTAAAGAAATCACTAAACAGAATAAAGAACTGAGATTCTGTTTTCTCAGGGGTGCTGTACATTCTTGGAAGGCTGAATCACTTTTGTCAGGCTGCAGATTATACTTGGCTATAGTAAAAATGGAATTAAAAGCAGCTCGTTTTAGCAAAAAAGGTTTTCTAAGTCCATGCATAGTCTTTCCACACTATGCATTTTCCAAGAACTTTCTGAAGATCAATCATACCACCTACTTAAACACAATCAATGAAGGAACGTGAGAGCTAGGAGGAAGCTCTGATCTTGCCAGGGTTCACAGACCCCGCCAGGTCAGGTCAGGTCAGTTCTCCAAACAGTGGTTTTCTGGGGAATGGCACTGTGGTAGTGGAAAGAAAATCAGTAGAAACACAGAGAAGGGAGTCTCAGAGCCACAGGAGTCACTAACTTGCTATTAATTTAAGTCAATTAATTATCTCTCATTTCCTTTAACTAGACAAGCAAAGGGATGTACCACAATCTCTCTGAACCATCTCCAAATGCTAACACACTTCCCATCTCCAAAGGGAGCTGAAACCTATCGCAGAAGCCATACCACTCAGAATTCCAAAATTCCTGTTCTGACTCCAAGATGTTCGCAAGGAAATTTCCATTAGCTTCTTCCTACTTCATTATGAAGCAAACAGACAAAACAGAGACATTGCTTTGAGTCCAGACTTCATCCTCCCTCACATAGCAAAATTCCAAGGAAGGCCGACAGCCTTCCCCAAGCTGATGGAACGGCTGCTCACTCTTCTAGACGTTCAAGTGTTTCCAGGTCAGTGCTAACTCGCTTATCCACTGTCCCCACAATGACAAACCCCCAAGGGACAAGTTATGTCACAGAGAGAAGGAAAGAGTAGAAATGCACTCTGGCGAGCCTGTGTAAGGGAACCATCAGGGCTGTCTTCTCTCCCCCAGCCCACGGCTAAGTCCAGTTTCCCAGGCTCCTGCCATGGGGGCGCGTCTCTGGACTGGTTCTTGCCAATGGAGTGCGAGATAGAACATGTGTCACACCCAGGCTAAGCTCAAAGTCAGCATGCCTCCCCTCTCTCCAGGCATGCCTTCCAGAGTAAGACTGTTGGGACCTTGAGGCCATGTGCTGAAGACGGGGAAAGTACAGTGTGGAGAGACTGTGTGGACCACACACCCCCAAACCCCAGCCCGCAAGGCAACTCCAACTGGGTTGTGGTATAAATGTCAGAGCAGCCACTCAGAGCGTCTGCGGGATGCTCGTGGCAGTAGCCAGCATTCACCTGCGCTGTCAGAGATCTCCTGTCACATGAACACATAAACCTCCTATGCAGCACAGTCTCGTCTACACAGACCACAAATCAGGCTGCCACACAGATTATTCTGTTGCGGCGAGGATGAGAGGGGTGAGATTTACTGTGCTTTCAAAACTAAAATAAACAACAGTTTCATAGCCATAAAACTTAACACCACAAATAATCATTTCTTGTCTAACAAGTGCCTGGATGCAAGCATAGTAGCAGGTTTTTCTAGAGGCCGGCATTGTGGGGCAGCACATAAGCTGCTGTCTGTGACACCAGCATCCCATATGGGCGCCCGTTCAAGTGCAGCTGCTCCACTTCTAACCAGCTCCCTGCTAATGTGCCTGGGAAAGCAGCAGAAGATGACTGAGTGCTTGAGCCCTTGCACCCATGCGGGAGACCCAGATGAAGCTCCTGGCTCTGGCGTCAGCTTGGCACATCCCAACTATTACAGCCATCTGGGGAGTGAACCAGCAGATGAAGGTGATCGTCCTTGTCTTCTCCCTCTCCCTCTCCCCTCCCCCTCCCTCTTAAATAAATCAATATTTTTAAATGGTTTTTTTCTAAGCCAACTGAAAACATGCCCAGGTCAGCTTCATCCAAACTGTCGACTTTGGCCAGGGTTGCCTCTGGCCTGCCCAACATTCCTCCCTTGGGTGTCTTTTTCCCTCTACACACTTTTCTCAAACACCTGCTAGGCACAAAAGGCTGAGGCAATGTCCCAGATTGAGGTGCAAAAAAATGATGGCGGAAGGGGGGGGAGGGGGAGTAGGGTGGGTAGTGTCTCCTCACAGGACATTTGCATTCTAACAAAAGGAAAAACCTTGGGAAACCAATCGCCCATAGTGGAATCAAAAGTACCCACAGTCTGGATGAGGGAGATATTTTGGGAGGCAAAGGAGTTTTTCTGATGACTCAGAAATCAAAAGCCCTGTAGGCAGCCACCTACTCTCCACTCCTCATATGGAAGTCTTTGAAATCAACTTTTAAAGCAGTTCTACTCAAAAGTAGCTTAATACCCAGGGAGGAGGAACTGCCTTGTCATTCGTCCTTGCTCAGAGTCCATTCAAAGCAGCATTCCTGGAGAACCTGCCTTGTCCTTTGCGTGCTAAAACTCTCAGGAGGAGCTGTCTGGGCCTTCTCATTCACTAGTGTACCTCCAGTGCCTGGCATTGGAAAGCGCTCACAAGGAAGAAAGCAAACGCGTAATAACTATGAGAGAGACGAGCTGTGACTAGTGAGAAGATATTTTCTACCTAATAGCCCTGGAACAGTGAACAGGTGTTCAGACTAGAAGTTCAGATATCCACTTCCTACAGCCAAGGTGGGATCCTTGATTCTGGCTCCGGATTCCAGCTCCTGTTAGTGTAGACCCTGGAAGGCCCATGGCAATGGCCCAAGGAATTGAATTCCTGCACCCACTGGCAGACCTGAGCTGTGTTCCTGGCTTTGGCCCTGGTCCAACTCTGGCTGTGTGCAGGCTTTTGGGCAGTGACCAGTGGATGAGAGCACCCTCTCTGTCAAATAAGAAATTAAAAATTTTTTAAATACAGAACTGGAAAGTAGAGAGGGAACATAGCTATCACCTAGTGCAACTCCACTGCACTCGGCAATGTCTTCAGAGCCCCTGGAAGGAATGACCAGGTAGCCTCTCTGTGACCACACCCACCACCCCCACCCCTGATCACTCTCAGTGGCAGTCATCCATGGAGGTGAACTCTGGGGGATCCCACCACCATTCTTATCTCCTCCTTATGCATCCTTCCTGCCTTCTCCCATAATCCATGCAACCACCACCAAAGGTCATAGTGTCCTGCACCTACACACTCCAGTTCTGTCAAGCATCTCCCATGGTGGGTGCACAGGTGCACCTCTGTGCCTGTTCAGATCAAGTCCTCAGCTCAGAACGCCCAGCTCTCTTATTTCTGCCAGGTGGCCTACTAGCCCTTCTTCACACTTGTCCCACCTCAACCCCAAAGCCTTCCATGAGTACCCAGGAGTCACAACAAATCTCTGACTCCTCCTGTATCCACTACCCCTTGACCATTGCCTTGCCTTATAGTTTCCTGTGCCCATTTCCTCGACAAAAGGAACTGTATCTTCCTGAAGGAAGAATCACGTGTTATTCATTTTAGAAACCCTCCCTATCAGGTTAAGTAGTCTCCACCCCACATCTGTGTCCCCTGCAGAACCTCAGACAGTAACCTCCTTTGGAAATAGGGCTGCTGTGGGACATAATTAAGACAAGTGTCTTTAATCCAGCAATGATTGGTAGCCTTGTCAAAGAGACAAGGCATGGGCTGGTGCCATGGCTCAATAGGCTAATCCTCCGCCTTGCGGCGCCGGCACACCGGGTTCTAGTCCCAGTCGGGGCGCCGGATTCTATCCCGGTTGCCCCTCTTCCAGTCCAGCTCTCCCGCAGGCGGCCATTGGAGGGTGAACCAACAGCAAAAGGAAGACCTTCCTCTCTCTCTCACTGTCCACTCTGCCTGTCAAAAAAAAAAAAAAAAAAAAGACAGACAAGACATGGACACAGAGAAAGAGCACCACAGTGCAGACGCATAGATGTGGCTGTGGGCCAAGGACTGCCAGCAACACCAGCACCTAAGCCCAAGGCATGTAAGAGGTTTTCCCCATGCCCTGTTGACACCTTCATTGCAGACTTCCTTACTCCAGAACCCTGAGAGGAGGAACTTCTGCTGGACTAAGCCACTCAGTGGGTGGTCATCTGTTGCCACAGCCCTTGGAAACAAATA